GGGCAGAGCACAGATAGCCCTTTGTGTAGCTTTGTGCTTAACTTCAAAACAAACAAACAAACATTTTAGAAATAATAATAATAACAACAAATAACTCAAAAGTTTCTAATAGATTAAGAGCATCAAAGTATGGGGACTAATCAAATGCTGTTTACTATAATATTCTTAACGTTTAAAGGACGGGCGTAGCCTTTTAGTTAGCGTCTAAGGATTCAGGGTTCGTGATCCGTTCCCACAAAATTATGTTCCGTTATGAGTGATTAGTATATAAAGATACGAATGTTTAATGCTTTGTTTCAAGCAACTTAGGCGAAAATGGCAAACATGTTCCATAATGACCATTAAAACTGCATTGTCACCCTCATCCCAACAACTCTCGGCGATATATATATGTTTATGTAAATTATTAACTTGTACATTTAATGCAACCCTCCATTCAGCCTATTGTAAGATCGTCTATACACATTTACAGATTTCCCCCCCCCCCGTCTCAACAAAATACCGAATGTTGAGAGGGGTGAACAAAGGGGGGTGATCGGAATTGAGAACACGCACGCACACACACAGAATAGCGGCTGTCGGCAACCCACACTTAAAGCTCCCGGAACTGGAGCGTAGTAATCAGCAGGTTCTATGGTTCATTCTTTCTTGGTCCGTCACTGTCAAGGTAGGGCACTAAATCACTCCCAAGTTGACTCTCTAGTAATTACAGCAGGGGGGAAAAGGGGGAGGCACGGCACATTTTTAATGTGGCACACACACCCGTGTATACCTATACTTACAACGACTAGAGACGATTACATAACCCATGAGTAGAATTACAATTTGCACTCGGCTAAGAAGAAACTCGTCGAATTGTTGTTCAAATAGACATTTATAACTGAAGCTGAATAAGAAAAAAAAACAAAAAGAACATCTCTAGCCAATCATACTAATGAGAAAAACAAAAAATAATAGCAAAAAACAGCTCTATGCAGTCCTACTTAAGAGAAAAAAATAAAAGAACAGTTCTATCCAATCTTAATTTAAAAAAAAACAGCTCTATCCAGTCCCACTTAAGAGAGAGAAAAACAGCTGTAGTCAATCCTACTTAAGAGAGAGAAAAAACCAGCTCTATCCAGTCCTACTTAAGAGATAAAAAATAGCTCTATCCAGTCTCTACTTAAAAAAACAGCTGTAGTCAATCCTACTTAAGATAAAAAAAAAAAGCTGTAGTCAATCCTACTTAAGAGAAAAAAAATAGCTCTATCCAGTCCCTACTTAAAAAAACAACTGTAGTCAATCCTACTTAAGAGAAAAAAAAGCTGTAGTCAATCCTAATTAAGAGAAAAAAAACAGCTCTAGCTAATCCTACTTAAGAGGGAGAGAAAACCCAGCTCTATCCAGGTTGTTTGTAAATTGCTTTGGTCGGAGCTACTTCATCTTCAATACTCTTAAGTAGGATTGGCTAGTGTTTTTTTTTTCTCTCAAGTAGGAACTGGATAGAGCTATTTTTTCTCTTAAGTAGGAAATTTTCAATGTAAATATATATATAGGAGATCCCAAAATTAAAATGAGGAATTAATTGCAATATTGATGGTGTGGTTTTTTTGCTTAAAGCTTTTGTATAACTTGTACATTGTAAGAGATATTGTAACCAACAAGTTCATTGACCCATCTGCAATTTGGTGTATCAGTAGTTTAGAAAAAATGTACTTGAAAATCAGAAGTTAAGTCTAAAGTTAAAGTGCTGTAATAGACAAAAACTTAAAATTACTGAATACGTTACAATATGTGGCTAGGCAAAGGTAGTGAACGACATAAATAATGTCTGTAAATTATTGTTTAAACGGCAGATGAAACGAACTTTATTAGAAATAAACAGACATACCACTGCAGATTTAGCTCGCAAACACGTTGTGTACTTTTTTTTTATTATTTTATTTGCAATAAAGCTTGAATTAGGCGTTGTTCAATTTGTTCCTTCTGTACCCCTAAGGGCAAGAACAAAGCAACGGATACTGTTTACCCAAGAATAAATATGGTGGAATGAGTCTGTACTTAATTTTTACCGTGTTTGCAGTCTCGAATCCCACAATGCGTTGCTCTCTTTGCGTCCTCAAACAAAAGAACTTTAAACTAATGTCTTGATTGTACTACTAGTTTGCTATTTGTAACACTAAAGTTAAGAATCGTAGACGATTATTTAGTGTGAAAATATTTTGATTGGTTTGGAATTTGATTAATTTTTTTTCTGCCTGTCTTTCTTTGATGATAATGTTTTTAAATATATTTAACTACATAGACCAGAATAGAAACATGATCTGGATTCTACCGTATCTAGAAACTATTCATTGTTTCACAGAATGTGTAGAGAAATCGTGAGGGTAAGATGTGTCAAGCGCTTGCTGTTCGGTATTCAATATTACATTTTTTATATACTATGACAATTAAAATAATGTTCTAGATGTGCTGTTTTAGAGAACAACAACACAATGTTGTAGTATCTTTTGTCATTGCGGAACGTGATTTCCCAGTATAAATTCTTGTCGTGAAAGGTGGTGAAAATTTACGCCTGTTATATAATTGTTGATTTATGAAAAAGTCCCCAGCAGTAAATCTACCGTTTTATAATATTAAAATCTGGGGTTCGATTCCCCACCGTGGACACAGCAGATAGTCGTACGAGTCTTTGCTATTAAAAAACAACAACATATTCATGAAAAAGAGAAAGCGAAGGAAAAGATAGCAAGAAGAGAAGGTACGAATTCAGATTGAAACAGGAAACGAATCCTGCTACTCCTTAATTCTATAATATTCCTGGTTGCTGCGGTGTCTTCTGTGCTATGAAGCGTGATATGTCGTAAATAATACACATTAGACACTTCTGCCTACTTACAGTTACGCTGATTCTTTACGCTGTGACGTAAAAGATATCGTAATCTCGGAAACGTAAGCTTTGCGAAAGAAAGATAAGTTTATAAGCATCGCCTCTGGTGTTGCTTTCCTTGTTTCTAATGCTTTAACCTCACACATTCAGCTTTCCCTGCTTCTAATGCTTTAACCTCACACATTCAGCTTTTTTTTTGTGTGAGTTTTCTAATGCGATACTCCTTGTCCGTTGTTTATATCTCCAGTTTCTGCTGTTAATCATCTACTCTTGATTTTTACATATCCAAATTGTACTGTTGTCAGCCTATTGTTTTGCATCTAGCTTACTTCGCCCATCCACTGCTTTTTTATTCAGTTTCTGACGTTGTAGGCCCAGCTTCAGTTCTTGTGTATCCACTTTTTCTTACTTAGTTGAGTCTCTTCACTTAGAGACCCTACTTATCTGTTGCTCTGTGGCTATTATATCTACATCCAACTTGTTTTGTTATGTATAAATAATGATATATGTCCAGATTTTATTTCGTCTTCGGTTATATATTTCAATTTTTTTCGGTGTTACAATACAGTAAAATGTCTTAGATTTCATATCTATATATGCAGTATATGAAGCTCCCAATCATTCACATTCAATAATAAATGTTTTAATCATTAATAATTAGGTTTGATAGCCTCTGCCTGTTATTTATAATATATTTATGATCAACATGTTGAGTATAGATTGTTTATTTTGGATATAGGTTAAGGAAATAAGCACATTTTTTTCAATTGAAATTAATAAGCACCACTTTTAACGTTAAACATCAATTGCCTGTTAGACATTTTTAACTGAATAGATAATTATTAAATTTTGATAAGTTTGATCTCGTGGATGTTTACGTGTTAGAATGAAACAAGCGAGTAGACATTCAACATGAAGTACTTTTTGTATTTTGAGTACTCGATCCAACTCACTGAACACTTAATTTCTTATTTTCCCTTCCACAAAGATAATTGAGAGAGTGCAAAACATACGTGAATATTTCGAAATTATTTTAACTTTTCACCATCATTAATTAATTAGAAAAATACTCTGATTTATCTTGCCCATAGAGCATAATGAATAGTAGGCAGTAATTTTAGTTATTAATAGATTTTCACCGATAATCATTATCAGTGTGTTATCCCTCAAAATACTTTCCAAGGTCTTAATCATTTTGTTCACTTTTTTCTACATAAATTTTATTGTCTTGAAATACAGAACTTTGACGACCTTACGGTCAAACTTAGGGGTGATTTGTCTTTTACCTGCTTTAATATTTTCAAATGATGGCTGTTAACTGGTATGTACTATGTGAGTGAATACACACACAAATGCATATCGTATCGTTAAAGGATTTAAATATCTTTTAGAAAATAGCTAGAGCATTATATGTGGGTTATTCTTAAAAGAAAATAGCGAAATTGAAATACCTTATACGAAAAACACCAACATCCACTAGACTTTTATAGAAAGCTGTTAGTTTAAAGCATCAAAATACATACGATCGTGGAGTAGATAGATGCAAGTAGTCCTGTTAATTTTTATTCTTATTCTTATGTCCATTGTTTAACTATTATCACTGCCTTTAATTTTACATATTTTGAGTAAGTTTTTCTCTTTATTCGAGAAGTATGTTACACTTTATTTAGAAATAAGAGTGAATCGCTAGGGGCCAGTAATTCTAATAGTGTTTCACTAACGAACAAAATGATCATTTTTTAGTGTTCCATTTATTATTTTTGTGATATTTTACACCAATCTAGGTTGTCATGATTGAAACATTTTCAAGTAATATAAAATTGTTTGATTTTTTCCATAGACAAATGGTAAAAGAATTTGTAGATCTTCTTAATCAAGACAGGTCACCTTTGTGCAATACTAAACCTCAAATCATCCTCGAACCGAACATACAGCGCCATCTATCGCATTTTTCTTTCATGACCCACGGTTTTGGGAGTCCGGCAATTTTGGCAGCTTTAACGGCAGTTCAAAATTACCTCACGGAATCTTTGAAGTTCTTAGAAAAACAAATTAACAACTACCAGAATCCAACAGCAACACACGTATCAGCAGCATCAACTCTAGGAACCATTAAGAAGGATGACAAAAAATAGTCGTGCAGTTTCGTGGAAAAGAAGCGGCAGTGTTTCTTAAGGTGGTCAGTCTCATTTGTCAAGGCTTTTGTATCACATGCTCAAGCATCAAATACTCCTGATGAGATTACAGAATGATGTTTCAAATCGTACGACACCTATTGCGGATCCATGAATACTTAGAGTTTGTTATTGGTGCTGCCCTCTTGAAAATGCTCAAAATCGTACTAAGCATTAGAACTGGAAGGAAATCTTCCGTAGCTTCCAGGTTTTAGAAGCCCGTACTTAGTTCATAAGACAATGTTAAAATGCCATACAATATGCCATGTTGATATTAGAGTTTTTGACTGCCATAGAATGACTTCATGAGAAGTTTTACCGTACGTGGTCTTAAGGTTATAGAGCTGACAATTAGAATGTGTGTGCTTGTAAAGAAACAACATAAACCAAAAGGAAAATACAACGGTGTATTCGCTAATTACAGTAGCACGCAGCGGTCAGATTGGGATTTTAAAAGAGGTGGAACTTCGTTTTGTGATCCATTTTGTAGCAGCAACGTGGATGACAGCGTGGTCCAATGAGAAGACCAGGAACGCCCATGTCTTTAATCCTCAAGAGACGAAACGCCGTTCCCAATTTAACATCTTGTAGCATGTTACTGGCACGAGCTTGTAGTTAAGTTGCCATGTTCTAAAATTCAAACATATGTATTGTAGCATGTATAAACGTTTGAAGTTAAGATTAGTTCTTTTTTGTTTTTGAATTCATACTGATAAGGAACGAAGGTTAAATGTGCGTGAAAATTTATAGCACAGGGATTGTGTTTAACTTTTTTGATTTGGTTTCATTTGTTTCTCAAGATGATGTTAATTAATTAAAAAAAAATAACTTTCAATACATGTAAACAAGCACAATTTCTGTTGTGTATACTTCGAGGCATAAGACAGGGCCATGTATGGTGTAAACATCCAATTTTAAATTCTTTTGTCGTTTTGATGATTGCGTTACAGCATGAGCCCAGAATTTATCTTCATAGATGTTTTATGCGTGTTTTTGTTTGGGGGGAGGAGTCTTTTTTTTGTTTTTTTTTTTAAAAAGGCCAATATGCGACAAGTTTTTCTTAAGCATAATACGATTGAGAATTTCCATAACAGCAGTATGTAATTTTGGGTTGTTGGTACAATTAATTTTGAGAAGATTGATTAATTATTTGATTTTATTGTCTAATAGCCCTTCTACCTCAGTATTAAAATAATTATCGTAATAAACGTTATTGAAAACACATTGTAAGCTATTGAACAAATGTGTTATGTTTTAATATTTGGTTGTGAAGTAAATACCCAACTTATGATAATGAAAAAAGTTATTGTATTATAAGTTAATGTCTACTAAGCATAATGGTGAAATGCGCTTGGACCAAGTCTTAAGTTATTTTTTGTTTCACACAAGTTTTATTATTCTCATATATAAACTTGTGGCATAAAAGTATGTGTTTGTAACAAGTTTTATTTACTGTAACTAACTGTGTTTCTTTAAATTAAAGCAGAAAATTTAGGATTGTTGTTGTATTTATTTTTATTGCTGTAACATACACAATATCGGTGTTACTAAGAATACTTCTTCTGTTTTGCACATAAACAATGTTGTTATCGTCAAGAATACTTCTTTTTGTTTTGCACACAAACAATGTCACCGTCAAGAATACTTCTTTTTGTTTTGCACACAAACAATGTCACCGTCAAGAATACTTCTTTTTGTTTTGCACACAAACAATGTCACCGTCAAGAATACTTCTTTTTGTTTTGCACACAAACCATGAGTCGTGGGAGGCAAGGCACACAGGG